TACCCCGAGGTCAGAGGGTCTTCCATGCCCTCTATATGCCTTTGTCCAAAGCTCTCCAAATCCTTGTTGGACAAGGCCATCTCAAACCCCTTGAGCCTCGGCCTCTCTCGAACCCTCTTCCGGCTACGCATGATGGTACCCAGTACTGCGCGTACCATCAGCAAACTGGCCACACTACCGACAACTGCTTCCGTCTTCGCCATGAAGTACAGGATCTATTTGACAACAAGGTCATCCTCCCGCCAAGCTCAGCAAAGTCTATCGACACTGAATCGGTAAACTTGGGGGATAATGTGATGTGATCGGGGGATGAACCAGCTGCGGGCGGCGCTCAATTAACTCCAGACGTGGGAATGGCACGCACTGTTCTGAGCAATATGAAAACACCAGTTTTTGCGCTTTCTGACTTGGGTATTGAGTCAGTCTTGTTGTTTTGTATAGAGTCAGTCTTTTCTTACTGAGTCAATTGGGTCTGTCTTGTTGTACCGAGTCAGTCCTGTTTTGTTGGAGTCGGGTGGTTTCAGGGGTGTTACCTCGGACATCATTTGCTTGTTTTGTGTTTGTCTTTTCATTTTCTTTTCAGTCTATTTTTGCCTTGGAGCCAATAATGCCAACAGATTTGAATGAACAGCAATGATTTTCACATTCTTGTGTTCGCTTCTGCCTTGTGCCAGTTGTGCCAGAAGTTCTGAATGAAACGACGGTGCTTTTTACCTCTTTTTTTGTGCTTTGAAAATCATTACATTGACCTAAGTTTTTCAAAACTTTTTGAATATTGTGATGAAAACAAAGAGGGAGGAATTCCTCGAGTTTTGTAAAATTTGATTAACTGAGAGAAAGAGAGACGTGCTAAACCCTTAATGAATGAAATCATGCTTGTTAATGTGAGTATTGAGAAGGATCCTGGCTTGATCCAGATTGGTCCTACACTGTCTTCAGCGCGAGCGATTAGTCGCTTTCTTAAAAGGTTTCGAAAATGTTTTGCGCCGTCCTATGAAGACCTGTGTGGGATCGCTCTTGAGATTGTGCAGCTTAAGATCACTCTCAGCCTCGAGACCCAAAACCCCTGCTTTCAAACCTTGAACCTTAATTTAGAATATTCAAAGGTCAATCACAATGTAAGGCCTATGTGGCCAGATTTGGAGCAGCCCGTGAATCAGGGGCAGGGAACTCAGATCAAGAAGATCAGATGTCATCAAAAGGAGCTTGCAAAGCTAGATTAGAAGCACCCCTCGAACTAGGGGCAAAAGATGCTAGATTGTGCTCGAAGAGCCGAAGATGGATCATTCCACAAATCAATGAAGATCGGCAAGAATGCCAAACCTCAGAAGGGAGAAAAGAAGAAGACATTGCTGAAGGACAACCGAGTTTCTATCCACAATACTAGGGGCAAATTCACCTTCCATTGGATGGACTTCTACATCATCACCGAATAGCAGCCATTCTCTTGGATTCAGATGACTTCAATATCTCAAACCATTTAACATGGACAAAGCTCCACTTTTACCCTTGAGAGGCTCGCTGGGTCGAAAATCTGGAAGGGTGACCCAGGCAAAAGTTAGAGCAAGAAAAAGAAAAAAAAAAGAACAAAGAAAAAGAAAAGAAAAGAAAAGAAGAAAAAAAATGAAGAAAATGAAAAGAAAAGATGAAAAAGAAAAGAAAAGAACAAAAAGAATTGAAAAGAAGAAAAACAGAGCTCGCAAGGTTGAAAACCCGGAGGGCGGCATTCGGGCAAAAGTTAAGAGCGCAAAAGGAGATTAATACCCGAGTGTACCTTAAACCTCGAACTCGTAAGCTTGATTCCATCTTTGGGATACGTAGGAACTTCATTCTGAAGCAGCCGTAAAACACTTCAAATTGATTTGCCATGTAATGGTTTTATATCATCTTCGCCTTCTCTGTATCGAGAATTTGTTGTGTTTGTCACTCTGAGGACTGATACAATGTGCTGCGGTGCATTCAAACAGGGCGACTTTTCGTTTGCATTCAATGCGCCGTGGTTGCCGTTCAAATAGGGGTAACTTCCGTTGCCATGGCTCTCTTCAAAGCAAGGGGCATTCCTTCCGGATCTGAGGTTGTGCATTCTCAAGAGTAGTTCCGTGTTGGTCGA